GTCCAGCCTGAATGTGGTATCCTTTTTGTAAGTGACCTACCGGGAATCGGGTGACAGTCATCTGCTTCACACCGATCATGCGGGCAGGCAAGCCGATGGGTTGTTGCACGTTGCGCCAGTATCCGAACAGACGTTTTTGGGCTCTGGCAGCATCAGATGCCTTAGCGCGAGTCCGGCCCGACCCCCGAAAGCCGAGTGTCCGAGAAGAGCCGACGCCCGAAGACTGGTTGTCAAGGCGGGCAGACGAATTTCTGCCGGAACTGCGTGACTCGAAGGCCGGCAAGCCGAGCAGTCCGGCCACGAGGTCGTGGCAGTGAGCAGACGGACTCGCGATGCTGCGATCCACCGCCGACGCGTCGTAGTAGATCAAAAAACGAGTGGCCTCCCGAGCCGCACTGATACGATCCACGGGTCCCGAGGCGGCCTCGATGCAATTCTCGACGCCGTTGTCACGAGCCTCGGTATCAACCTTGACGTTGGCGTCGACATTGGCGTTAGCATTGGCGTTGGTGATGGTGGTGGCGGTGGCGATGGAGACGAGGAGGTCGGAAGACGTGGATTGGAGGCTCGCGGTCGCAGAGCCGATCGAGATTGGCCCTGGTCTGGGCACTCCAACCATCAACTGCGCCTCGGCGTCCAACAGGGCGGTCCGTGATACCGGTCCCTGGTGATGGATGTCTTGAAGTGTGGCGTCTGTCAGGGCATCTGTGAAGATGGCCAAGGAGACCAATTGGCCGCGGAATGTGGCCAATCGGCCCCAGAGGTGGCGTTCTTCGCCCAACCACACCTGAAAGACGCCATTTTTACTGCCGGTACCGGAGCTTGAGGCTGCCGCGACCATGCTGCCCAACAGAGAAGATGCTGCGCTACCGGCCCCGACGGACAGACTCGAGACCGCGGAGGGAGAAGAGGCGAAAAAGCCACTCGATCGAGGCCGATTGGGGGCGAGACGAGAGCCGACACGCTTGCGCGGTCGCTTGGCGGCCAACCGGAGCACGAGATTTGCGTAGACCTCCTGTTCAACCCAGGCTGGGCAGCCGCCGATGTGGAAGATGCAGGGCTCCTGCAGACAGACGACCAGATTTTGCGGTCGAACGAGGCGAGTCGCAGAGAAGAAGACGAATGGGAAGAATATTCAAGAGAAGTAGGGCAAGAAACAATCAGTAACCCTTAAAGTGCATAAAGTGATAAACGATTGATAATGTAATTTTTACACAATTTAATTTCACTTGTACTTGAAAGTACGATAGACGCCGTTAAAGATACTTGATCTGAGAGCTTGGATTTGACCTTTTTACACATTGGCTTATTGGCATTGAAGATTTGTACATTTGAATGTCCACTGCCATTACGAGATACCACATTTTGTCTCGTAAACCCTCAAACTTTATCTCTTCTTCACTTTTTCGGAGACCTAGGATACTTTGTTTCATTGAGCTTGTGAAGGAGAAATTTGTAAATTTTCCCAAAATTAGATGAGTAGGCCTAAAAGTGTCAGTTGATATGACAAAAGGTATTCTAATCCCGGCCAGCCTTAGCTGCTGTTTCGACCTCATCAGCCTTCCCGGCAGGATTCGATACCGGATTGTGAGTGTATGGTAAATGTTTTCGATTCCCGCCATGAGATTCCCGCCATTGATGAGACCCAGGCAATGACGGAACAGCAACTTAATATATCTGGGATTAAAATACCATTTGGAAAGCAAGGCCAGGTGAGATTAAATGATATTCCTAGGCCTAATCCTATGATTTGGGAAAATTCCCCAATTACTCCTTCACCAACTCGATCGACCTGGGGTTCCTATATCTCCGAAAAAGGCAAGAAAAGACAAAGTTTGAGTACTAAAGAGACAAAATGTCATATCTCAAAATGAGAGAAGTCACGAGAACTGCATCTGGTCAGGCGGACTCAAGCAAATTGCCCAAATCTGCAATGCCTAGGAGTGAAAGTGCACTAGAGCGTCATGAAAAAGGTGTGTAAGATTTACTGAAAGTGGTGGCATTTCACACTCCACACTTGAATCGGTATCAAATCCCAAAGTGGATGTTGATGCAATCTAGGAGAGGTCAAACCAGCAGTCCAGTCTGAATGGGAATGCCTTCTCAAAAGCGGGGATAAATGAAATTAGGCCGAGTTATATGATTGTGGCGAAATTCACCTATTACCTCTTCATCACCTAGGGCTTTTGGAAATCGTAAAATAAAAAAATAAACAAAGTTTGCGTGTTTACGAGACAAAATGTAGCATCTCGAAAAAAAGGCAATAGACGTCTCATGCGATGCCCGAATCTTCAATGCCTTTGAGATCATGTGCAATAATGCATTATCGCATTATCTCAGGTTTAATGAAAGTGTCAAATCAAAGTCATCAGATCGTGTTGTCTGGTGCAATAGCAAATGCAAGTTTGCCTCATCAAAAATCCCACATTAAATGTGTTTTAGAGGCTTTTGATATTCATTTTAGTGTCTGACTGACAAAGTGATGAAGCATCGCACAATGTAGGCCAGCAAGTCGTTTCCGAATCCCATTAAGAGTGCTGAGGATGGGATACGACGAGATATAAACTGCTATCAAAAGGATATAGGAAAAGCTTTTCGGAGGCCTCTATCCTGACTTTCATCAAATCACCGCCTCGCTTTCCGGACCTCTGTCTGCCATTGGATCATCCAGACTGAGCCCACAAGAACACCAATCAAATGCCGACATTCCAAGCTAGCAGAGTCGGACAACTCTGAACTGGATCTGTTTTGTCATGGATCCAACATCCTCAGATCAACTGCTAAGCCTCAGCGCCGTCGCTCCATCCTTGATTGACTGCATCTTGCCCAAATATATCAAGTATACTCACTCTATTTAGTTTACGATGTCATGGAAACTGTTTGATGAGAATATCTTTTGGGAAAGCAAGACTATGTGAAATTAAATGGAAACGTAAGGCCCACATACATCGTTATGGAAATAAGGTAAACACATAAATGGTCTGACCTCGTTTTTGCAACTTGGTCGTGTTGTCAGGGCCACTTAGTTTGACGCATCTTGTTCGAAGTCTTCTGCTAGGTATCATAATTCCCAGCGTCGGAGCGTGGGATTGGTACATTTCTAGACGTTTCATCGGCATCTTGGTCGGTATCGTCGGTGAGACTGGCCACTGTCAGTACCAAATACCTGGCTCTTTGACGAGTCGTAGCTTGGTGCTGAAAGTGGCCGGATTCACTGACGATACCAACCAAGATGCCGGCGAAACGTCTGGAAAGTATGATACCTACTCTAGCAGAGATCTTTGCACAAAGTATGTCAAACTAAATCGCCCCGACAACACAAACAAGTTGCGAAATCGAGGTCAGATAATTTCTGTATTGACCCTTTTTCGTTTAAGGTGATAATGGAACTGATTGATGAATTTTCTCTTATGTTTCCATTAAATTTCACATAGTCTTGATTTCACAAAAAATATTCTTATCCTGGCTGGAATGGATCGCAGTTTTGACCTTTATTAGGTTCTAACAAACAGTCTCCTTATCATCTTAAATAAAATGAATCGCCTTGACAACAAAACTAATTTGCGAAACCGATGCCAGAGTACTTTTATGCCTCGGAAGGAGACTGCGATCAAAATAGAAGTCCTAAAATCTTGGTGCTCATATCCAGGCTAAACAAAAATGTAATGAGATGTATTCACCCTATTTCGTGTAAG